CTTCCTCTAACAGCTCCCTGAACTCCCCTTGAAACTCTGTGCCTTGATCGGTGAGCACCTCTGCACACGCCCCAAATCTGCATATTACTTGCTCCTTGAATGCTGCTGCCACATGTCTTGAGCTCTTGCTGGGGATAGCCCTCACCTCCAGCCACTTGCTCACGTGCTCCACCATGAGCACTATGTACCGTTTCCCCCCCCGGCTCAGCGGCAGTTCCCCCGCCAGGTCCAAGGACCATCTGAAGCCTAACCCGCGGATGGGCAGGGACTGCAGCTCGGCCTTGGCTTGGGTCAGGTTTGCTCGGCTCCTTTGGCAGGCCTCACATCCCTCCACCCACTTCTGCACCTGCCTGCGCATTCCCTCCCACCACCAGCCCGTCTTCAACAACTGCACTGTCCTCTCATGCCCGAAGTGCCCCAGCTTTGAGTGCACCTCCTTTATCACTGCTTCCCTGTCACCTGGGGCCGGCACCAGCTTCCACCCACCCTCGGTCTGTATCTGCAACTGCTGCTGGTACCACCTGTAGTGGTGTCCCCTTGCTCTCACCCTCTCGCTCATCTCCTCGTCTGCCCCTGTCTCTCCCTTCACCCATCTCACAGCCTGCTCATCCTCCCAGATATCAGCCGGCCCCTTGCTCCTCCTTGCCCCGCTCAGCTCCACCTGTCTGGCCAGCAGCGCAAGGGTCACTGTTGGCTCTAGCGGTGGGGGGTTACGGGAGAGGCCGTCCACATGCTGCAAGGTTTTTCCTGGCCTGTGCTTGATTTTGAAGTCATACTCCTGCAGCTTCATTGCCCATCGTGCATTCCTGCCTGTTAACCCCGGTGTAGTCATCAGCCATGTCAGTGGCTGGTGGTCCGTCACCAGGGTGAACTCCCGCCCCTGCAAGTAGACCCTGAAGTGCCCCACAGCCCATACTGCCGCCAGTCCCTCCCCTGTGTACGAGCTGTACTGTGCCTCCGCCGAGTTGCAGCTCCTACTCGCGTAGGCCACCACCTTCTCATCCCCTTCCACCTCCTGGCAGAGTATCCCGCCCATCCCTTGGCTGCTCCAGTCGGTGTAGAGGGTGAAGGGTTGGTCCGCTGCTGGCAGCTGCAAGACGGTTGCTGTTTTCACCGCCGCCATCAGGTCCTGCAATGCCCCCTTCTGCGCTTCCCCCCACTCCCATGTCTTGTCCTCCCTTAACAGTCCGTTCAACACCGCTGCCCGCCTGCTGAAGTTGGGCACAAATCGCCGGTAGTAACTCAGAAACCCCAACACCGCTCTCAGCCCTGTCTTGTCCTTTGGTTCTCGCAGCCTATCCAGCACCTCCACCTTTGCTTGCTGGATCCCGATCTGCCCCCCTGTCACCTCGTAGCCCAGATACTGAACGGTCTGCTCACCCCACCTACACTTCTTCGGGTGACACATGAGTCCCGCTGCTTCTATTGCTGCCAGTGTCTTCTCCACATCCTGCAGGTGCTGCTGTTTGGAGGTGCTGAAGATCACCACGTCATCTATGTAGCACGCTGCACATTCTACGTCCCTCAGCACTGCATCCATGACTCTCTGAAACACTGCTGATGCGTTCCTCAGCCCGAATGGCATGTAAAGCCACTCGTACAGCCCATCCGGCCCGTGAAATGCCGTCTTCCTAACGTCCTCCTCCCTGATTTTTATCTGATTGAACCCCTGCCGCAGGTCCAGCGTCGTGAAGAACACCCCCTCTGCTAACTTGTCAAATATCTCCTCCGCCATCGGCATTGGGTACCTGTCCGCCACGGTAATCTTGTTGAGCGCTCGGTAATCTCCGCACATCCTCCTGCTCAGGATCTCCCCTGTTAAGTCCTTCCTTGCTGCCACCACTGTTGGTGTGGCGTATTCTGATTCTGAGCGCTGGATCAGTCCGGCCGCTAGCAGCTCCTTAATCTTCTCCTTGCATATCTCTTCATCTCCGTGCGGCATCTTCCTACGCCGTTGGAACACCGGCTCTGTGCTGCTCAGTTTCAGCTCCATCTCCTTCATTTTGCACCTTCCCAGTTCTTGCAGTGTGAAGGCAAAGCACTTCCCATGCTTGGCCAGCAGTCCCAGCATAGCTTCCCTTCCCTCTTCACTCATCGCTTCCCCCACTGTCCACTTCCCTCCCTCCTCCTCCTGGCAGGTCCATGCTCCTTGTGGGGCTGCTGCTGCCGCCACCTTATCTGCCTCTTGCCCCCCACCCAAGACCATCTGTCGCCACATCCTCTGCACCAGCCACCTCATCATGTAGCCATCCATGGCATTCCCCATTGCCCTCCTCCTGTCTTCCTCGCTCACCCCTGGTGCTGCCGTCACGTTTTCTCCATATCCCATAGCCAGCTCCCTCTCTAATGCCGTCGGTTCCTCCCACCGTCCCCGCTTGTGGTCATATATCAGCCCGGGTCCGGGCTCCCCCTTTTCCCACCTGTAGCCTGCTGCCTCTGCAAAAGCGACCAAGGTGGGCAGAGCCCTCCTGTCCTGCCCCACCTGGTTGCACGGGTAGTGCCTGCTGTAACTTCTTTGACAAACTGGCGCGGGAGTCCGTCCCGGCTCCAGGATGTCCACCACCCTCCTCCCTGCAGCCCTCCTCATCCCCTCTGCTTCCTCCTGCAGATCCAGCACGGGAACCACGTTTTGCCAGTACATCCTGAGGCGGTGAGCGTACGACCCTGCCCTGGCTGCATCACAGCTCATCCCTTTTCCCACGTGCCGGCCAATCCTCTCCCTCACCAGCCGAATCGGCTCTCTACAATCCCCTTCTAGATCCAGATTCTCTAGCAAGTAGGCCACTCTGCCCTGCCTCTCCTACAACCACTCCAGGATACTGAACAGGTTGTCCATCAGCTTCGTCCTCGGGTCCTCCCCTCCCTTCCCTTTTCCTGCCCATGACACCCCTTGACACTCCCATCCCGCCACCAGCAGGTCCACCTGCCCCCAGCTGGCCACCTGCTCCTCTGTGATCTGACTCACATCGTGCACCGTACTGCTCATGGCTTCCTGAATTACTTTCTCACTCAGGAGGTCCGGGAACTCAGCTCTCAGCTTCCGCGCGTGATGCTCAGCCATCCTTCTCACCTGTGGTGCCAGTTCCACATAGACCCACTGCTGCACTGCAATCCCACTCCTCACTGCTGCCGCCAGCCCTGCCCCGATTCCTCCGAACAACTCTACTAGCCGGATGGGCTGCTGCCAATCGCTATGCTGCCCCGGCTTGTCCATCAGTTTCATCCTGGGCCCCTCCTTGGTCTCTGCTGCTCCTCTCTGCCCCCTTTGTGCCCCTCCTGCTCCGACCTGATAGGCCCACTTCGGCTCCACCCTTACAAACTGCACTGGCAGCTGCCCCAATGGTCCCTCCTTCTTCCAGTATCTCGTTCGGAACTCCACCTTCTCCATCCAGGTACATATGCTCATGCCTACAACGAACACCAATTCCGTCCCCATCAGCAGATCAAAGTCCTCGGACTCCGAGATTCCACACTTCATCCTGATCCTTGTCTCATGCTCCCCTCCTAGCAGCAGTGTCAACTCGATGGGGGTCCGTGTGCACGGCATCCACTTTGGTTCCCCTCCCTCTGCTGTCATGACTAACATCTCCTTCGCCACGTGCCTCTCAGGGGCCATCAGCCCCAACCGTTCGGCCATCCCCTTACCCAGCATCACGCTCTGTGCTCCTGTGTCAATGATCGCCGTCTTTACCTTCATCCCCCCCACTTCCACCGCTCCTGCTTCCACGAGCAGCACCGAGGTCTGGCACGCGAGTCTTTCCTGCGGGTGGCGGGCTGGGGTCTTCTCTCCTCCTGGCGCGTCCGGCCTGGACCCCTGCTCACGTGGCTTTCGGCTATGCTCCTGCCTGCCATCCTTCCCCCCGCTACGCAGCCCCATCTGTTCCCTGCCTCTCCAGGCCATGAGGGCACACTGCACGTCCGGCTCCACCCCTTCTCCCTCCTCGTCCCTAGTGTACATCCCCGCCTCCGCTCCCCACCCTGACCCCATGGCCTGCAGTTGAGACTGCAGCCTGCTGATCTGCCGCTGCAGCTCCTCTGGTTTCCTCCTTGCCCCTCCCTCCCGCTGGTAACACTCCTTGGCCTCGTGCCCCTTCTTCCCGCAGATTTCACACTTCGCCGCATCCGGACATTCTCGTTTCCGGTGCCCAGGCTTCCCACATCCATCACAGTTTTTGCACTCTCTGCGGAGGTGCCCCATCTGTCCACACCGGTAGCAGGTGCGCGCGTCGGCTCTCTCTTCCCCGTGTGGGTCCACCCTCCCTCGCTCCTCTGGTATCATAGCTGCCGCCCATGTCGGTCTGCGGCTCCTCTCTGTCGGCCTCGGCAGGTAGGCCTCATACCTCCTTTGTGCCTGCTCCACCCTTTCCGCCAGGTCAAACACCTCCTCTAGTGCCACATCCGCCCCCAACTCGTACTCCCTCATCCTCAGTCCCCCCCCAGTGTTTCGTCCAGGCCTCCAAGAAACTTACTGATGAGGAGGCTGCTGTCCGAACATTTCACATCCTCCGCCAAGTTTATCAGTCGGTTGTAGTAGGTCAGTAGAGATTCTGTTCGTCCCCTCCTGAACTCTTGAAACTCCTTTATGCGCTCCGCCGTGTGTCCCGGGAATTGACGCTGAAGCCGCTCCAGAAATGCCTCGGTGGGATCCTCCCCGTACCTCCCTGCCCTCCACAGCAGCTCGTCCATCCTCATGCGGTACAGGGTCTCCGCCTCTCCCTCCAGTGTGTTGGGCAGGCTAAAGAAGAAGTCTACTGGGTCCATGCCTTGCCTGTCACAGCGGTATCTCACGTTCCCTACCTGCATCAAGTAATTCTTGAGGGCCGGCCCCACCCGTTGGTCCCCCGAGAACCTCGCCGGCACTTCCACCCGCGTCGCGCTAGCTGTACTTCCCCGCCCTTCTCCCCACGATTCCCTGGCCCCTCCCAGCCGCTCTTCCCCAGTCCTTCTCTCCTTGGCCCTCTCCATGCCTTCCCTGGCCTCTCGGGCCCGCTCAGCGCCATATGCTAAGCTCCCCCCTCCAGCTCTGCTCTCCCGCCGGTTCCAGCCCGAGTCACCGTGCCTTTCTCTCGGGCCCCTCTCCTCCCCCGCACGCCCTCGCGTTCATGCCGGCGAGACTCGTGTCCCTCTCCACCTCGCCGTGCTCGTCTCTCGCTGCCGCTGCCTCTCTGGCGACGGTTCCCATGCTTCTCCCCTTCCTTGCTACCGACGATCTCCGGGCGAGCGCCTGTCTCCGCCGCCTTCTCTTCCCCGCTGCTGCCGGACGAGAGGCGAGGGGAATCCGCCGCTCACCCTCCTCTCCCATTGCGCTTGCGGGCCAGACGTCCGTGCCTCCCCGCCGCGCCCCTCTTGCCGCTGGCCGCGCCTCTCTGATGAGCTGGGCCCCTCCTCGCGTCCTTCTTCCCGCCGCCAGTGGTGGCTGGCTGCGCGTGGCTCGCCCTCCCATCCTCCCTTGTGCATCAGCTGCCTGTCCGGCGATCGTGCGCCGTCTTCGCCCCAGCCCCCTTGTGCCTGGCGCCAGTCGAGTGCGCGAGGGTTAACAGAAGGCCGCTCCCAGCGCCGCGATCCTTCCCCTGACGCGCGCGGTCCCTCTTCCTCCCTTTTGCCGCGTTCTCCTTGCGTCCCCACAGTGCCGGCATGCACGCCCCAGTCCCGCCGCTCCTGCTGACGCGACCTCTCCGCGTAATGCTCCTCCTGGCGGCTTGCGTCACGGCCGCGTGATTCCAACCGTCCCGACCGCGATCCTTCCGCCCCTGCCTGGCTTGCGCCCCCGGCAACGTCCGCCTCTTTAGGCTCGGCGCTTCCGATCCCAGCCGCGGGTTCCTCGCGGTCATCTTCTCCGTTGGCGTCTTCGACCGCCCGTTCCAGGTTCGCTGCGTCCTCCTCTGCCTCTTCCTCGCCGGACGTCTCCCACGCTTCTTCCTTTTCTGCGGCCTCCCCTCCTTGGTCGGCGTCGAATCGCTCGACGCCCTGCCGACGGCCCCTCTCATCACGGCGGCGCCCGCGCTCTTCCGGCGAGCGGAACACTCCCACAACGCGTCGGTCTCCGCTCCCGTATCCATCTCCGCGATCATGCCCTCTTCGCCACACGTCTCCGTCCGCGCTTGTGGCGTATCCTTCTCCACCCGCTGCCACGCTAGGCCTCCCTTCCGCCCGTCGGTCCCCAGCGACGAGGACTCTATCTGCGCGAAATGCCGGCCTTCGCGGCGAGCGCTCCAGAGATCGCCCGCGCTCGCGTGACGGCTCACCTCGTGCTCGTTCCTCCTCCCGGCGACTAAACACCCTACCCCAACGTAGCTCATATTTATCCATGACTGCATGTCGCGTCCTATTGTTTAGTATGAACGGGATCACTCCCTCACCCCACCGGTTCCTTCTTAGTGCTGTGCCACCGCGTGTAGTAGCTAGGATAACAGCCCTGCACTAGTATGAAAGAATACTAAACAATAGGCATCGAGTGAGTGGGCGCGAGTGACCTTACCCAACCTCGGTTTGCACATTTCCAATGTGCGGCTCGAGGTTGGGATTTGTTTGAATCCCACATTTCGCCCTTCGGTGCTTTTCCCCCTTCATCCCAACCGCTCCCACATGTTTCCCCCTTTTTGCAACCCTTTGCAACCGACACTTCGCTACTGGCTACACCTCCTACACTACTTCATATCTATCTACCTCAATGCATTCTTAGCTATTTGCTATACTACTTCACAGCACCGCACTCTACTGTTATTGCATATGCATCCCTTGCATATGCGGTGACAGCAGCTCTAACAGCACCAGAGTCAACAACTACTTCGACAGGCTTGACTGCGTCTACCTAGGACACACCTGACGGGGCAGGACCCTGAGGGGGGAGGGGGTCTACCGGGGGAGGACCTGGCGCAAGGAAGAGCGGCGGCGGAGGAAGGGGCGCAGTGCAGTAGGGGAAGAGACGGTAGTAAGGTACCGACTCCTCAAAGGTGACGTCCTGGGAGGACAGAACACAGCGCGAGTTGGGGTGGTAAATCAGGCAACCAGGCGCGTCTGGGGGGAAGCCAAGGAAAACGCAGGGAACAGCACCGGAGGAAAGCTTGTCCGCAGACAAGTCGCGGACAAACGCCCGAGATCCCTAGACCCGAAACGCAAACGCATCGCCAACCTTCCCAGTAAACTGCAAGGTGGGGGAGGTTTCTAGCAAGGAGACCCGGTGCTGAAGGTTGAGCTTATGCGCTGCGTACTGAACCGCAAACGGCCACAGAAAATGGGGGGCAGCCGCATGGATCATGGACGTACGAGAGACGTCCATGACCATGCCAATGCGGCGCTCAGCAATCCCATTTTGCTGTGGAGAGGCCGGAAGCGTGAAGGTCTGGCGGATGCCCTCTTCACGACAGAAGGCTCCCAGACGGGCAGAGAAAAACTCCCCGCCTCTGTCAGAGTGCAGACGCAGAACAGGAAAGTCCGAGCCGAAACTCTCCCTGATCTGGAGACGAGTTGTGCGGATCCAATCGATCAACACCTCAGTGACGTCACCCTTGCTGCGCAAGGGGAAGACTGTGGTGTAACGCGAGTAGTCGTCAACCACCTACAGGAAGTAACGCTCGTTCCCCTGTCCACGGACGCGGGCGGGGCCCCACACGTCCATGTGGAGAGTCTGCAGCGGAGCCTTTGTCAGAGGAAACTCGGAGGAGTGAGGGGCGGCGCGCTGTGGCCCAGGGGATGCAGGTAGGGGCAGGCCCCGGAGGTAGGGGAGGGAGAGACCGAGGGAGACCAGAGACAAGGACACGGGAGGCCATGCCTCGGAGACGAGGCAGGGAGGGTTGACCAAGACGGTGGTGCCAAAGGAGAGTCTGGTGGGACAGGAGACGACACGAGCAGGGAGCAGACTCAGGACCAGACCTTGACGCTGCAGCAAACACCTGACTCGACGCAGCTACCTGGCCAGACTCAGCAGCAGGAGGAGAATCAGTGGTAAGGGTGTACAGGCTCGACCCTGGCTGACGGGTGAACGTGGCCAAGTGTCGGCCTGTCCGAGCACACGTGTAGTGGGTCACCCGCTGACTCGCAGGAGTGAACAGGTAAACCCCCCTATCCTGTAGGTCCGCTCCACTCACCAAGTTTGTAGAGAACGAGGGGAGGTAGAGACCTGACAGGGTGCCAGAGGGGGCTGCCGGGCACAGTAACACAGTGGAGAAGCTAGCAAGAACAGGACCCCCAGAGGGGTCTGCCAAGGAGACTGCACCCGGCCGACTAAGCGGCGTAAGCGTGGTGCGGTCTCGAAAGAAGGAGCGGGAAGCACCCGAGTCAAGGGTGAAGGTGTGTAAGGCCTGAGTCGACGTAGTCTGTGAGAGAGCAGACTCACCAGCACCTGGGGCAGCAGACGCACTAGCACCAGGGGCAGCAGACGCACTAGCACCTAGAGCAGCAGCCTCACCAGCACCTAGAGCAGTAGCCTGAATGCCCCGGTCAGGCGGTACACACAGGTAAGAGTCACCCTCAACACAGACACAACATACATGGCAGCAAAGTTAGCATCATAGTCAAGATCAAAGCTGGCAACCCCCGCCCTAGACAGATCTCCCCAGCGAGGGATCTCTTACGCCTCAGGAAACTGGTGACGCCACGCGTCCGTCAGGCGGCCGAAGCAGCGCTGGGTGGAGTGCGGGCCCCTACACTGCTCACCAGCGCGGTCGCCGGTACGGAGGACGTAAGTGCAAGGACCAGTACCCCCACCGCGCTGACGCGCAACGCACCACTCACAAAGCTGCTAAGGGGACAGGGTCTCACGACTGCGCTGTTGTTGCTGGCGCGGACCACCACTGGACCCACTCCTCCGCTTAGAGTGGCGACCAGCTCCACCGCCGCCGCCGCCGCCGCCTCCGCCGCCTCCCCCGCCTCCGCCACCTCCGCCGCCTCCGCTCCCTCCGCCACCACCGCCGTCTCCTCCGCCTCCTTTGCTGCCACCGCCGCCGCCACCCCCGCCACCACTCCCACCACCACCCCCACCCCCTCCACTGCCTTCACCACCACTTCCACCGCTCCCGCTAGCTCCTCCAGCTCCCTTGCCCCCCTTGCCCTTGCCGGTGTGTTGTCACCCGCTAGGGGAAGACGCAGCGCCTACCGCGTAGAAACCAACAAGGTCGGCCGCAACAGCAAAAAGCAATAGAGGGCAAGAGGGGGGAGGGAGAACACCCCTCAAAGACGGGGGTGCGAGGGTCACCACGAGAGGCTCCTACAGCAACTATGCTATTCTCTGCTGTTAGGAGGCGCTCCTCGAGGAGGTCAACGGTGAGTGTGGTGGGGCAAACTGAGAGGAAGTGGTCCCTTACTAAGCGAAGAGAGTCAGGGAGCCAGGTGACTATGTAGTAGAGGGTGATGTACATGGGGGGGGGGGGGTTCTTGGCGCAGAACTCAGCAAGAAGCGCAGCGCGGTAGCGAGTGTCACTAGTGCGGAGGTGCGTAATGAGGTCAGCGACTGTGGGAAAGGCAGCAAGGTCAAGGAAGAGGTACGGTAGGATGAGGCGGCTCAATGCAGCGGTGGCAGGGGAAGAGTAGCGTGCAACTACAGCGTCGTACAAGGTCTGGGTACTCTTGTACTGGCTAAAGTGCGCACGCTCAGTGGTCGGTAAGTGGCGACGCACAGCAAGACAGGCAGCAGCATTGCGTGTCGCTCACTGTGAGTGAACAGTGCTGTCAGCAGTAGCAGGCGGGGCAGGGGAGGCACCAGAGGTGAGGTCCAACAGGGAGAGGGCGTCTGCCCTATCGCACTGGAGGAACAGCTGGAGGGCATCGACCCAAACCTCAAAGTCAACAGCACGACCCTCAGTGTCAAAGGTGAGAACACTGGGGAAAGCCATGACTACAGTGGCCTAGCAAGGAGTGAGCTCACCAGTCCAAGTAAGTAGGGCAGGGGCGCGCCGGTAGGACGAGGAGCGGCTCAACGGCAGGGCGGCTCGGCTGCTCAGCGGCTCGGCTGCTGGGCGGCTCGGCGGCTCGGTTGCTGGGCGGCTCGGCGGCTTGGCGGCTCGGCTGCTTGGCTGCTCGGCGGCTCGGCGGCTCGGCAGCTGGGCGGCTCGGCGGCTCGGTTGCTGGGCGGCTCGGCGGCTCGGTTGCTGGGCGGCTGGGCAGCTCTACTGCTGGGCTGCTCGGTAGGGGCAGCGTTGGGGCCACTAGGGGCGGCGACGGGGCCGCTTAGGGAGGGGAGCGGCGACGGGGCCGTGTAGTGGCGGCGACAGGGCCGCTTAGAGGCGGCGACAGGGCCACGTAGGGGCGGCAACGGGGCCGCTTAAGGGCGGCGTTGGGGCCGCTTAGGGGCGGCGACGGGGCCGCTTAAGGTGAGAGGCGGCGACGGGGCCGCTAGGGGCGGCGACGGGGCCGCGTATGGGCGGCGATGGGGCCGCGTATGGGCGGCGACGGGGCCGCGTAGGGTGAGAGGCGGCGACGGGGCCGCGTAGGGTGAGAGGCGGCGACGGGGCCGATAGGGGCGGCGATGTGGCCGCTAGGGGCGGCGACGGGGCCTCGTAGGGGTGGCGACGGGGCCGCGTAGGGTGAGAGGCAACGACGGGGCCGCTAGGGGCGGCGACGGGGCCGGTTAGGGCGGCGACGGGGCCATGTATGGGCAGCGACGGGGCCGCGTAGGGTGAGAGGCTGCGATGGGGCCGCTAGGGGCGGCGACGGGGCCGCTAAGGGCGGCGACGGGGCCGCGTAGGGGCGGTAACGGGGCCGCGTGAGGGGCGGGGACGAGGCCGCTAAGGGCCACTAGGGGCCTGGAAAGGGCCGCAAAAAGGCGCGCCTCGGGCCCAAGGAAGCGTTTCCA